GAGCCCGGATTCGCACGCTCCACGAACAATGGGGCCCTCCCCGTCGGCCCGACCATGTCAAACCGTGCCACCAAGTCACGTGCACACCCGATGCACTTCTCTCTGCGTGCATGGGTGCAATAACCGTGACTCCTGTGTTCTGGCGCCATCCACCGGGTCACGGGAATTCTAACCTAACGAGCGGAGCGTACGATTGAAACGTGCCTCCCTTTTCTTCTTCTTTTTTTTTTTTTCTTTTTTACTTATTTCAATGAATTTCTTCGTATGCATCGGTGAAAAAGAAATGATAAACCAGAAAGCAGAAATAAAATCGAAGATCAACGATCTTTGGAAATCGAAACGATCGGAATTATAGGAAAGGTTTATTTTTTTTTTTTTTTTTTTTTTTTTACTTGCTCAAACGTTGCGTAAGACGATGTGTTTACCGCGTTCGTCGAATTTCCATGACCTACATTTACGTATTTATGTGGAATTTATAGGTAACGAGGTATCATAAGTTTCGTATTAAGTTCACTTTCGTATTTTTGTTGACAATATCTTTATTGGTTTAATGGAGAAAAATAACTCGATTTCGGATGAAAAAATAATCGTTTTACACGCGATACGTGGTTAAATCGAGGTCTCGACACGATATTAAAGCGAGAATTTCAAGTGGGAGCTTTTCACTGACGCATTGTTAGACTTGCAGCCACATAACTTCATCAAGACTAATCACGCCATGATTAGTCTCGCACCCGGAAGCCCGAGTACGAGCAACACGAATTAAGATAAAGAAGTCAGGGATTGTATCAAGCGTTTCGAATGTTTCCATCTCCATAACTACTTGTTAACTTTACATGCAGTTGCCATTATTATTAAAAATATATATTAATAATTTTCTCTCTGTATTTTTAAAATCTTCTCTATCTATATCTAATTATATTATCTCTGTCTATATATAATCATAAAAATTTTACCTCCATCAATTTTCTCACTATAAAAACGTTCAACAAAAAAACAAGAAAAAAAATCCCTCGATGCAGAATCGATGGTGAAGAAACGAAAAACCAAAAAACGTTTCTTTCGCTACGAGACAAACGTGTCCAACGAAATTTGCAACCCCCCCCCCCTCCTCCTCCGTGTCTATCGTGCTGCTTTTACAACGGAGACATTAGCGAACCGGTAGCCAAGCAAATACGTGCATTTGTCGGGGGCGCTCGTACGACACGGTCGAACACAGAGGCGCAGGGGGCCCAATGGACGTTCGCTGAGCGAATGGAGGGAGGGGAGAGGGAAAGGGAGAGAAACGGACACGGTGTACCCCCTACGGAGTAGCGCTGCCTCGATGCCTCTACACGCGAAAAATTTGCAACCGAGACAATGGCGGCCTCGGGAAACGAAACACGACCGGCACGAGTTGTATTCTGGCGCCGATCAAGAGGGTGGAGGAGGAAACTGAACCAGAACAACCAGAGATTGAAATATAACCGGTCGGTCAAATATGTATGGGCGCATGGTGAAATTTATGCCAACGTTTCTGCGTATTTATGCGCGCTTCTTTAACCGTATGAAGGCCGACCGATAAGTTCCACATTGGAACACTTTGGTGGAAGATTTTTTTTTCAAGAACAAGCGTCGAGACGCGGTTATGGTGAGAGTGGGGATTTTCTTTTTTCTCTCTAGGATTAATCCAATTTTTGGAACGTTCGTCACAAATTTGACGTTCTCTTTTGTAATCTAAAATTTAAAAAACTATATAATATAAAGTGTCAACGCATTAACCCCTTTGAAAAAATAACAACTTGTTAACAATTTTTCCTAACTTTTCATATAACTCTTCATATAAACTTGGCCGATCATAATCATTCGCGATTATCATTTCGAACAATAAATTATCGAAAATAATAAAAAATAATTTGAATTTTTTCTCCGTCAACTTTCTCTTCAACTGTATGCGTTTCGAATCATCTGGATCGCCAGCCACGGCGGAATCACGAGAGATAAATTTCTATCGAGCCTGATCTGAAATGATTTTCTCTGGAATAACCGAGTGCGACATTGAGATTTCGCGAAAAAGACCTCCCCACGAGTTTATCCTCTTGGTGAATGGGGGAACACGGTTCGAACTCGAGAGGATCGATGATCGGGTTCGAACTAGCGTATAGATCGGTATCACGGCCGGATATCAATCGATCTTGACTAGATCCTCTGTAGATCGGGGGATAAGGCGCGGAACCAGATGCAACAGAGGTAGATACCAGGAGCGGCAGTTTAACGCGAAGATCGATGGCCGATTGCATACTGGATGGCGTCGAGGAGGCTTCTAAATCACCGGCCACGAGATTTAGTGCACGTGAGAGAGCACCTTCTTAGAGATTGCGCTTGCTCGGCGAAGAGGAAAAGAGTTTTCAGAGGAAAAATATATGCCGATGGATGGATGATGTTTCGCATCTAATATATAATGTAGTTAATACGCAAGAAATAATAATTTTATAGAAATATTCTGGGTTAAAACTTAATTGAAGCTTCAAAATAGAACATCCAGAGTCGGGCATTAATTGAAAAGTTGAAAAAGTAACTTTAAAAGTTGGTTAAAAATTAGAATAAAGTTACTTATTTAAATGCTCGAATAACATTAATTCAACTTTTCGTACAATCTCGACCCTTATCCATTACAATTATTATTGTTTTGAACAATAAATTATTGAAGTAACTTATTTACTTCAACTATTAAATTTTACCCATCACTGAGAATAAATAACTTCCAGCGAACCTAACCTCAAATTCTCAACTTCTCGGTCCAAGTTTCTGAGCAACGATTTTTCTCAAAAAATTATCGTTCATTCATTTTTACCGAATGTGAACCAATTCTCCAACTTCGAAATTAATAATCACATTCAGAAAATTTATCGATAAAAGAATTCTCGAATAAGAGAAACATTCTAAATTTCCATCAAGAGTCGTCCACGTCCTCCTCGCGATCCATTAGAATTCGCCAATTCGAATTGGCGCGAAAACGGCGAATGAAGATCGAGCGGGCGGAGGGCATAGGAGGGGAGTCGAATTTGCCTAAAATCATTGCGCAAGCGCAATGTCGTTTCACGACTCGCGGACCGTGGGTACGAGAGGCACGATTGACCGTTTGCACACCGCGGGGGTGGGGTATTAACATTGAATGCCGAGTGGAAGTTAGAGGCGGCCACGTACCGCGGCATGCATTAAACATCTGCTGCCGTATAGAAGAGGCCGGACAATTCTGAATTATACATCCCCACCGAGATGGCCGGCTGAGTGGCCACGGAATTGTCCCACTATTTCTTTGCCGGCAATCGAAGCTGTCCAACTGAGCCCCGATAACGCCGCTCCCAGCCTGGATTCGAACGCCGTGACCGGAAATCCTGCCTTTCTTCCTCGGTATCGCACCGATTAGATCGCTCGACTTCTGGATCACGCGGTCTAACAAGAAGATACGGTGATAAGTGGCAGGGATCGAGATTGATCGAGGTTTTGAATTAGACGAGTGTGATCGAAAAATATATAGGAAAGATGGTGCAAAGAGTTGATTAATTATGTGAATATCAAGGAAGCATCGAGTACTCGATCGATGATTTTAAATTACATGGAAAAAGAAGAAGTTTATGAAGTTTAGAGGACTTGCCGATGAAATATTATTTAGAGACGAGTTATTTACAACCTGTGACATTAAAATTTGAAAATCGAAATTAGTTCGCACGAAATATAACCAAAAAAGTTATCCCATTGCACGTTACATTTACTTTACGTCAAAACTAAGCCAGCAAATATTCGATTCCCACGAAATATAACGCAACTATCGGGCGATCTTTCGAGAAACAAAACCAAATCACGTTTTCCCCAAATCCCATATTTTCCAACCACAGGATTAACTCATCCCCTCGAAACCTAACCTCAACTCCACCACCACCACCATTCGACAACCACGTACCTCGTACCATTCCACGTGCAAACATAACCTCATCCCTTTGCCCCACGATCCCTCGAGATAAACCTGACATACCAATTTCGAATTCGTACCTATTAGTCCCTCGATACTTATCGCGACACCGGGCCACGAAGAAGGTATCGCAGTGGGCGCAGGTGCAACGGACGGACGTGTTGCGCGCATGGCTCGATCTACCGGCAAATTCGACTAAAGAAAAAGAAGGAAAAGAGAGAGGGAAAGAAGGGAGAGGAGGGGACAAAAGGCACAGTGGTCGACGCCTACGTTGCGTTCTGGCCTACGATCGGTCCCCAGGATCTTACCGACCGAGAGAGGGTCCAGAAAATCGAGCTTTCGACAAGACAATCGTATATAGGAGGGAGGAGGGGGGAAGAAGGAGGAGGAGGAGGAGGAGGATGGGGAAAAAAGAGAGACAGAGGCCGGATTTCTATACCCTCGCAATGCACCACGAATACGAATGGCTACGGTCGGAGGTGCGTAAGGCAGGAATTCACATTCCTGGCCATATTCGGCACTCCTCGGCCGACCCCTCGTGTCGCCTCTTAACTCTTTCGGGACGTGGCAACCGGCAGGACACGTGGGGTTACCGTATTTATATCCAAAGGCCCTCTGTGTTTACGCCACCGACTTAAACAGTTAGAGAGGCCTCGCGGGGAAAAGAGTGTGTGCGCCAAGGGAAATCCTCGTATTTGGCATCGCTTCGTTGACTTCAATAGTTTCGAACGCTGAATTTCAATCCCCCTTTTCGAGTCCGTCCCACCCTTTTCCATCTTCGTCTTCGTATAATTGTGAAATTGGTGTGTGTGTATGTGTGTGTGTATATATGTGTGTGTGTGTGATATAGAATTTCTTCTACCGAAACGAGTGGAATAGAATAAAATAGGTGAGTAGAGTTTTAAGAATTGCGATTTAACAATTTCAATTTATTTTATTTTATTTTATCTAAGTAATAAGAGGATTTCTATCGTTTGTCTTCGAATATTTTTATAAACGAAAATTATTCGAGCGATATGATGCTTATTTTTATTTTTTTTTTTCTTACCTTGGATATAGCAGCGCCCAATCCAGCTTGACACGAGCCCTGCCTGTGGTATCCCCAGTACCCTGAAACGGAAGCACGCAATTATATAGCGTCGTCCTTCGAACAGAGACGTCATATCTCTCGGCCGTTTCGTTTGGACGGACCCACGTACCGGGTGCCCTCGATAATTGGGGCCGTTCCTCGAATCGACCCTTCGCAACGATTCCATGCATAATTGGATCGGTCAAATGATACACGACTTTAAAATCGTTTAACCTGTTGCCTCGATGTCACGCCCCTTGCCACTTGAGAAAACTTGATGTCTCATTTCAAGCGTGCGAGCTAGACAACATCGATGAACAAGGGATAAAAGGATTCGTGTGGACGGATATGAATTTTATTTAACGTGTGTCTCAATTATTCAAACTTCTTCTTTTTTAAATCCACTGATCTTTAATCTCGATCTTTCTTCGTATCTCATTGGAATATTTCGTATAACTCGAAATTTATCAAACTCCCTCTCGAAAATTACACGTACAAAAAAAAAAAGAAGAAAGGAAGAATTATCTAAAAATTCACAAAGAAATAGCGTAATACTACGACAAGAGCCTCAAGTCCTCCGTCTTAAAAGAAAGAAAGTCTCAGGAATTCCACTAGAGGAGAGCTCGTGTCAGGAAAGGTGAAAGACTTGGCGCGCGCATTTGCTAAACGTCTTGTACCGTGTCAGAGAGGTCGTGAGTCGAGGCATCGACTAGGAAGTCGAGTTGGAGGCATCGACTTAAATGCCTATTGCCACGCACCCCCGCACACGTCCACGGAATACGTGTGCACGCATCATTAATCCTGGATCGATCCTGAACCGTGACGCGGATCCATCCATCACCCCATTCTCTCTCTCTCTCTCTCTCCCTCTTCCTCTGTGAGAAAACGGACGCTTCCAGGAAATCTTCGCGACCTTCGTAACTCGAACGAGATTGAATTTGATCGAAATTAAACCCGAACGTGTTCCACATGAATTATTATTAAGTGTTATTTGAATGGAAATTTGTTCGATACCTCTTTTTTCCGGGGATTCAGATGATGCAACCGTTTTTTTCGCAATTTTTCGGAATATTTTGTTAAATAATTCCATCGAGGCAAAATCTCCTTATCTTCAGAAGAAAACGCCCAGAGCACACCACGTCCATTGTTCCTACTAGCTGAATACATAATTCATCCAACACTGGGGCCCACTTTTTTTCTTCCACGATTATCAATTTCCACAACTGGCACCCTGTTCAAAGCTCGTTCTCATTTCCATCTGATGATAGTTCGAACAGACTACCCCATTCCTATTTTCCACGTTCTTTCTTCGCGTCCACGAAGACCAGTTTGCACGAGTTTGACAAACCGTTTCATCCGCGGCTGTTTCACGTGGATTCCCCGGCCAATTACGCGTCATCGAGAAAAAAGGAGAGCGGTTATTACAGCCGTGTTCTTCTGGTAATTCGCTCTTTCCGCCTGCGAGAGATCCCATCTACGAGGAATGCCCTCTCGCAATCGTACGTACAAATATCCACGGGTTTCTTGCCCGCAACCGTGAAACGCGATTGTAGGTGTGAGTTGAGAAGGAGAGAAAAAAAAAGAGGAAGAGAGAATTGCATCGTATCAGCATCTTTTATTCCTACTATTTGTTTTTTCCACGATCGAGCAAGATCTGTGTAATCTGAATGAAACGAGGCAAATTGATTCTCTTTATGGATATATCTGATCGCCATTCACTCGTGATTGCTTTCTTTCAATGTTTCTTCAAGGGATTTGTTCTATGATAGAATCGGTTCCCAATCTCTTGCGAATAATTTATAACAGTCGAATAGTTTTGAGCAACGTTTTAACGTTCCTCTCTTTTTGTTTTTTTTTTTTTTTTTACGAACAACGTGGTAATGAAACGATTGAATTAAAATTTTTCGACTAGAAAGACTAGAAAGTTTTTATGGACGGTATAATTCGCGCCATATGCGGAAGGCGTTTAAAATTTATTATCCAATTAGGAGGCACGAAGTCGGACCAATTATATCGAACGTTCTATTTCGAGAAATGCGTCGAACGCGATTAGGCGCGGAGGAAACGTTATTTTTTTTTTTTTTTTTTAAAAGTAGGAGTTACGTGGCAGGAAATAAGAGAATCGTCACCGCGAAAAAGAGAAGGTTTTAGTTTCGTTTCACGTGCAAGTCATTCTATACCGTAGTCTGCCTCCGTACGGAAGTTCTTTCAACGCCGTACATCAATGCGCACGATGAGAATGCAGAAAACCGGCCGAGAGATACAGATTTGTGGCGCGTGTTAATTCTCCCTTTCGAAATTTCCGTTCATTTCGCAACGGAACGCAACGAGAAGTTACTAGAAATCCGACATGATGCTAGTGACAATTTCAATATAGGGGAATTGATTTCATTATTCTATATATTTTTTTTAAAGCATGGTATACGATTCGTTATTAATTATTCGTTTATTCGTTGGTTTGATCGATTATTATTAAAAAGTGTAACTTTTATATATGGATATAATTATTTTAGAAAGAAAATTTACGATGTACGATGGTTAATTAAAAATTTTAAGTATCGACTTTTCGAATAATAATAAATATAAGTCGATGTGTTTCGAATAATTTTCAATTATCGAAGAGCAAAGAATAATGTTTCATATTCCAAACGTGTTCAAGGTCCCTAACATCGCCATCTTCGACTCGCTTATCATCTCAATGAAATCATCGTTAAAACAGTTCATCTTCTAAAGAATTCCAAAGATTCTTGTTTTTTTTTATAATTTTAATGCGAGTAAATTTTCTGAATCGTTTCTGAAAATAGAAGAAATTTCCTCGATTTTTATAACAGAAAATTATTTCTTAAACGAGTACATGAAAATACAAATCGTAAAAAGTAGGAAACACATGTGGAGGAACATATCGACCAAGATTTTCGCTTCCCCTTCTTCCCCAAATGATTGCGCAACGACAAGAAAGGAATACGAACTTCGAACGTGTTCAATCGATTCACAGAGAAAACGAATCGCGCTTTCACGATCCTTTAGAGGAACACCCTCGCGCAAGATTGATCGCGCGAATGTGACTGCCGCCGGAAAGATTAATCTTCGCCTGACACTTGGCATTAACATCAATAAGCTGGACACACTCGTCAAAGCTGCGCCAACGTAATCGCGACGAGTGCTGGCATTAACCGCCAATCAGACGTTATATATCGCTTGAAAAAAAAAAAAGGAAGAAAACAAAGCATTTTCTTATTCCATCTTAGATTTCTCGTTTCAAGGTTACGTCCAAGTCTTCGTAATTTCTGTTAATTAACGGATATTTATGAGTTATCAATGGAGGAAGAAAAGAACCGATTGTTTTCAAAGCATTCTGTTCTATTTTTTTCTTCTTCTTATATTTCTCTTTTGTGCATCGAAGATGACCTTATTAAACTCACAACTTCACAACTTCAAAAGCATTCAACAATCGAAATTACTAAAACCGTATATAAATGAAAAAGTTCAATCCAAATATAATACACCATTATTTCTTCATTCTTGCAAACGTTTACAAACAATTAGTTGATTTCAATCCCTCGATTATTAATTAAAATTCTCCAAAAAAATTTAATTCGTAAGGTATCCATAAGTTATCAATAAAGAAAGAAAAGAATCGATTCTACAATTGCTACTGTAACATTTCCAAAGCACTCTATTCTATTTTTTTTTCTTCCTTTCCTTGAATCAAAAATAATTTATTAAATTCACAAATTACTATAAACCAGTAAATATAAATCAAAAAAAAAAATTTATAACCCAAACGTAACAATTACACCGTTACTTCTAACATTTCAAACATTCGCAAACAATCCGTCGATTGTCGACCTCTCCAATCCTCCATTATTATTATTAATTAAAATTCCATCCGAAAAAAAAGATATTTAACCCAAGACTCGAACTCGATACCCAAATACACCTGCCCTCGAACGAACGAATCCCTCCGATTCCTCCTCCAATCTCTCAGCAGCTTAAATAGTTCCACGACGATCCGCTCACGATCGTTTTAATCGTGAGCCCGATGGCTGGACAGTGGCTGCCAGTAAGAAAACGGCGACGCTTGTATGGGAGAATATCCGGTGGGATCCGCACGGTCGCCTCGTCCACGTACTTACATACGTTATGAGCACGGCGAGAAGGGGGCGGCCATGACGGCCGATCGGTCACTTTAGACGAGCTGCCAGTCACGCAATTACATCAATCGGTCGTCGACGACCGATCAACCCGTGTCGGGTAGGGAAAAAAAAAGAAGAGAAAAAAAAAGAGAAAACGAGGCCTGAGACTGAAACGTCGATCGGCGCCGACGTTTCTTCGCGTGCATGCGAATAAGATGCCACGCTACTTAGGAGAGAACTGGCCTTTAACATCGCATCCCGATGGCCCGTATGATTCCAATGGCGTCGTATACAGGCGATGTACGATCGGTGTTATACGCCGAGTGATACGTGACGAGTGAGCGGTTGGGGGGAAGGAGGTTGGTTTGCGGTTTTGATTTTTCTTCGCGTTTGAAGAAGTTTGCTCGCGCGTTCATTGTGAATTTTCATCGCGTGTAGCGATTTTTGGGGCGTTTGAACGAGTTTGAACAAGTTTGAACGAGTTTGAACGAGTTTGAACAAGTTTGAACAAGTTTGAACAAGTTTGAACGAGAGTTTTTCGATTAATTTTAATCTCGTTTGGATGAAATCGTGAAGCTTCGTTCGAGAATGTAATTTTAAACTTCAAACGCGAGCAAACGTTTCATCTTCGATTAGTTAGAAAGTAAGGTATATTAAGGATTATATAAAAATCTGCTGCTTCAATATGCTTGCGAGTGTATCAGAACGGAAGCATATTTTCACGGTTGACAGGTTCTTTTTTTTTTCCCTCCCCTAAGGAAAGTAACGTGGCGAAGTAGCGATGTGCGAAGTAACAAAGGACAGGTTTGATTAGATGATATCGTCGCCGCTCGGTCTATTTATAATTCTCTGGTGTCCCGATGTTTTGCGAGGGCGCTATTCTCGTCGTTAAGAGAGTGCTTTGCACTCGAACTTGGACGACCCAGGACAAGTGCTAGAGAAATGTTTTCACGAAGAAGGTACCGCTGAAAGTAAGCAAATGAAATGTGGTGCCCATCACCGAAAACAATTACATCCTTCTTCTACCGAGCTCGTCTCGATTCTTGTCGAAAGATTGTAAATATATATATATATATTTAAAAGGAAGAAGATAACGAAAAAAATACAAAATTACTTTATCAACATTCATACTGTAATTAATATTTAGAAACGTAAAGTGGAAACAAGCGTCGATAGATCGAATGAAATGAATATATTAGATAAATTGAAGATCGTTCAATGGCGATATAATCGATGATTTTATTTTACACCGATTAGTAATTATAAAGAACGAAATCAAAATGGTGCGGTGAAAATGATTCGTACGTTGTAACTACACGTGACGTTTAATCGAGTTGCAAGTTGAATGAATGGAGCTACTGTAATTCTGATTCCGGGTAAATGTGTGAGCGTGTCGACGAGCGATTAAGTATCCCCAAGTATCGAGCGTATTCTTTTCGATAAAAAAGAAAAAAAAAATCGAAGGTCGACCATCGAAACCGCCGACAATCTCAACCAATTAAAAATATCAAGCCGCGTCGTCGAAATCGAACGAAATTTCATTGAAACCGAGACAAAGGAAAGAGAGAAATACATACAAAATTCGTCCGTTGAATCGATTAATACACACGCAATACAGATATATCTTTTCCATAAAAATAAATTAAACCATCATTCAAAAAAAAAAAAATACGATTTTCACCGTAAACGATATCTTTTCCTCGCGACGAGTCAATCGCGTTATCCCGAAAAGAGCGGTAAAAAGGGCGCGCGAAACTCTCGGACAAAATTCCATTTCCATCCACGAAGGCAGCAAGAATCGTGCGGCAAAAAAGAAAATCGGCGTGAAGGAACACCACCGTCAAACTTTATCTCCGCGGCAACAATTTCAAGCGCTCGTTGAACGGCCGAGCGGCAATAAAATCGCAATAACAAGGGGAATATATCGTTCTTATTGCAACGCGAAGAATTCAAGAGAGGCTTGTCACCAACCGTTCTTGCCCCTAATACTTGGTCAGCAGTCGGGACAAAGTGGACGTGATTTTTATTACCAGGCCGGGAATAATGACCGGCCATCCATTTTAACGAATCCGCGGGCAAGAAACGAAATCCAACGTTTTAGAGGTTAGATTACGTTTAGGTTAGGTACACGAGACGATCGTAATTCTATCAAGGACCAAGTGTTAATTGAAGCCTCGTTTAGAAAGTCGCGTTCGAGTTGGTGGCCCGAGGCGATGGCGCCTTCTAATTACGATTTATCCCTTCTTCTTTTTATTTATCTTCCTTTCTTCGGTGTTTTTCCCTCGACTTAGCTTCCTACTACTCGACCTCGTTCGACGGGTGGGCGGCACTCATCGTGGAACGTTGTTACCGACTGTTGGCGATTCATTCGCCACTTTCACTCTCACTCGCTCGCACACAGCCTCCCGCTTTTTATTGTTCACACAGGGAGGGGGAAAGCGCGATATCGCGAGTGGGGACAAGAAGGGGAACGTTCTCTCGCGTTTATTAACGCGATCTTTTTTAAACCGCTTTCGAGAAGCGATGCACTTGTTACGTAACCGTTTATATACCGCGAACTTATTTGCATTTTATCTACATTTCCATTAACGAGTTCCATTCGAAAGGAATGATACGAGGGAAGAAGTTGAGAACAGAAATTACAGGGATTGCCTTTTTAAGCAGCGCGAATAAGTATCAAGCGTAGTTCGTAGTTTCTTGTTGTCCCGGTTGAAAAATCGATCAGCCGGCTAATGGCCTCGCAATGTGTTAACTATGCCACGAGGAGAGAGAGAGAGAAAAGGAGAGAGAGAGAGCGAGAGGGAAAGGTTAAGCGCTACTAAAAAGAGCTTTTAGACCGACCACGATGGAAGTCTTCCAAGAGAAGTGGACGACATTTATGATTCACACTCTATCCATTACCTTCGATGAGTTCGGCCAGAAGTGAGGTGATTATCGACTTGGAACGAGTTCTATTTCTTCTCGAGATTTCGTCTCTTTTTTTTTTCCTTTTTTCCTTTTCTTTTTTTTTCGCGGAAATCGAGTATCTGTTATTGCGGGATGAAAACGTTTCTCCTTAAACGCGCGATAATTTTATCCATTTTTGGTATAAATTGGAATAGTTTCCTTTTTATACGAGACTAGAAATAGAAATTTTATTTTTTCCTTTTTTTTTTTTTTGCTCGAATCGAACGCTCGATTTGGAATAGATTCTTGGTAGCCGGATGGATTAAACGATAGTGATTAATTTAAAGTGGATCGATGAAGGTAGGTAGGTTTCTTGAAATTTCTTGAAAAGTATTTATACAATTTGAATTTAAACGAAAAGAAAAAAAAGATTCAAAGAAACATTAAAAATATGCACGATAAAATTTCCGATATGATAATATAGAATAAGACAATGGGATGATTTAAAGTATATTTTTTCCAATGTAAATTAGCACGCGTTCAAAAGCTATGCTTGTAAATTAGCGGTATTCGTATGCTCAAGTTGATTTAGGTGTTGCAAACTCTTTATGACAAACGGAAACGTGCACGTGAGCAAATCTACGGAAATAAAAATTACGTGAGCGCAGATGTTTATAGATATTTATCCTGCGAGTAAAGCACAAAAGAGAAACGATACGAAAACGAAGGATTATTAATAGCAATGATATAACGAACGAGACAAAGTTTGAAAATTGACGATGATCCAACATCGAAGATATATGGCGTGTGTTCGAGAATTTTCGAAGAAAATCGAATTAAAAGAAAAGAAAAAAAAATTTTTTTAATTTTTTTAAAAGTTTCATTCGAATTTCTTCGAAACGATGCACTCATCGATGGGTCAACAGTGATCTCACGGTGCTATTTCTCAATCAATCGTCATCCGTCATTAAACGAAGAATCCGAGATATCGGAGACATCTGAGAGATCTGAAAATTAACTCCAAGATCTGTAATTCACATCGTCGAAGGCCACGAATGGGGGAAGGGGAAAAACGTATCGTATAAAGCAATCTGGAAAAACAATCGTTGAAGAGAGAATTGTGCCCAACATTGCGAACGACACGGCGATTCCCGTCCAGAAAAGGCAACAATGAGCAAAAGGCGAATGCAAGGCTTCATAAGCTGCCCAACCGACGTCGAGAAGTCGGTGGACGATTCTCGAGAAAAGCGACAATAAACGGTTAGCTGGGTACAAATTGTTTAATTGCTCGATTCTCGCCAAGGAATTTCTCGACGATGAGCTCACACGTCGGCTAGCACGATATATTGCAGCGCTTCCGCAAGGATATCGAGGTTTCTTTCTCAACCAATCTTTATCTGTTTGTAAAAATTCTTTTTTTTTTTTTTCTTTTTTGTGACGTGAAAGACGAGCGAATTTGAATTTTCTTCTCTTCTCTTTTTGAAAAGATTCGATAAACAACGTGAGAATGGAATTGTAAATGAGAATTGTATTATTCTATGAATTTGGATTTATATTAATTATATTAATATTGGAATATTCTGGGAAATAAATTTGCACCATAGTTTTCGCGATATTTTATTCTGGCTCGATCTCTTTTTCTTTTCCTCTGGTTCTATTTTGAGTTTTGCATTGGAAGATGATTGACCGGAAAGACTTCCGAAACATTCGAAAAACGTGGGAGAGACGCGATACCATATTGTATAAGTAACTATTGGAATCTGCGCCGAAAGTCTGCTATTCCGGTGATAACCAGTAGATAACAGAAAAATGCGGTAAATTTCGAAGAATCTTATCTTGGAACAATGGTATGGAATTCGTTATCGCGAAGAACGGAAGGAAAAAATGCACTTAACGCTTACCCGTTGAGTTTTGCTTTGCTTTGGGGAAAATTTTCGATAAAAAAAAAGAAAAACATTTCGTGAGTGTATATCTCATTTCTTATTCCATTTTTTCCTATTCTCATTTAACACAATGGAGAAAGTGATATAGAATAAAAAAAAATATAAAAACAAGTTCCAGTAGTTTCTAGAACAGGAGTTTGCGATTTGTTTAAAAATATTAGAGTTCAAAAAGTTAAAAAAGTCATAAAGTTATAAAGGAAATTTTTTTTCACGCGTAAAATTGACGCGAAAGATTAAGAAACGAAAAGAGGCGAGTTCAAAAATTTTTAAATCATCGTAAAACAAGCAGCCTGTTCACCATGGTACAGCGCTAAGAAAATCGATACGTCTTTTGTCATTAAAACGCCAAGGCAGACCTGCATGGACGACAGGAAATATCCTGTTACCGAGGGTATTTATGGTCGCCATGCCTCGAGGACACGGCCACATGTCGCGGCGTATCCTCGTCCTTCGTCCAAGAGGAAATTCGTCCCCTGAGATTTCTCAAAGGACGAACGATTTACCACTCGAGAAAACGAAACTTCTCGCTACCCCTTGAGGAAACACGCAAAATGGAAGGAGAAAAGAGAGAGCTCTTGTGGTGATGTTTACATCTGTTTATAGAGGATGGATCAAGTAGGATATACAAAAGTAACAGAACCGACTTTCTCGACTTCTGTATTTTCTTAAGTTTTTTCTTCTTTTGGATAAGAATTAAAAGGAAATTTGAAGTTTTAGAAGAATTATTCTTCGAAGGAAATTCTACAATATTCTAAAAAATATGTTTATCTAGTCTCAAAAAATTTTCTCGAAACATCCTTCTTTTGATTAACCTAACCTAACCTAAGTTTCAAACGAAAACATTGGAATACATTGAAAATGAAGAGACTTACTCGTACGGCAAGGTGAAAATTCTTGCGGCTCGTTGAAGTTATTGCCGACGACCCAGCAAGTACCAACTGGTTCCCTTCGACTTCCAACGGTGGACTCCTTGCTCCATCGATTGTCTTCCGGATATTTTGGCTGAGACACGGAGAACCAAATGTACCTTGGAGCGCACGCCTACGAGCATATATAAAAAATTAATCTTAAAAACAATCTCTCACAAATATCGTTAATATTCCCGCTCAATTAAAGTGTAATGATCATTTTCTCAATTCGCAGTTAATCGCATTTTCTTCATCGAACCTATGCGTGCATGTACGTGTAGGTTAACTTTTACATTGACATCAAGTTCGAGACAATTGTGTAACTTGAAACGCGTGCGATTAAGTGAGGTTATGTAACGCGTTTCGTACCGTTGTTTGGATTACATTGAAATCATACTGTGAAAAGTCATCATAAAATTAATGATATTGTAAAAATCTTTTTTTAGAATCGAAGGATAGAACATAATATTTAAAATACTATTAATAATAATAATATAGAAAAATATATTTTTCCATATCTTCGTTTTGTCATAAAAAAAAGTAAGACAAATTATGTTTATCAGTTTGAAATATTCCTTTCTGAAATCGAAAACAATTGTTACGTCAATGATGTCTTATAAACAGCGTTTAGATGTTTAGAAAAGACCTCTTAGTGGAGTTAAAAGTAAATGTCTCTGGAGTTAAAATGTTTTTAGTGAAAAGAGGGATTGGACGAGTAGCTATGTTTCCGATGACTTTTTTCTATAAATTCTTTTCCATCTTTGTCTCTATAGAGGCAGAGAACAATAACTATTAACTATTTTTCAATTTCACTCAATCTATATGAAAAATTATTTCGACGATATCACGTCATCTTGTTTTCACGATCCAGTTACATCCATTAAACGATACGTATTTTTGGCAACTCAATTAAATCTACAGTTCTACTACGTAATCAGCAGAATTATCGTCAATCCACCATTACGTCAATTTTCTGTACTTGACCAGAGAACATTGAATATAGCAGCTGATGGCCTTAATAACCACCGTATAAATATACGTGATAAACGTAACGATGCACTTTGCGTTTCATCGGCCGGAATTACAATCTAGAAAGAAATTTCCTCGAAATTCGTCACGCGCCACCTCATTACAGGACACGTCGTTATAAACCATTGCGGCCCGTACATTAAATTAATCGTAGAATTCGCGGAAATTCGAGGACGATGCCGAGATTAATGACTCACGACACGTCAATCTCGTTAAGGTTAAAACGTAGACAACGTAACCTCCTCGAGATGTAGCGCGTTGCGATCGTCACGCCACCATTAATCATTTACATCTTTTGCAGTTCGAGTGAAATATTATAGCGCTCTCTTTCATTGCCCGATTCTAAAGATGATCGTGTTAATTTTTAAACGAATTGGCTTATTTATTATCCTTGACCTTTGATTTCTAATTCTTGGTCCTTTCTCGGTCGGATTTCACTCGAGCTGAGTTGATTTTACAGATTTAATAGGATAGGAATAATGCATCATCACTCTGCAAACTTTTGATACATTATCTTACCTTTAATCTCCTGTCTTATCTCGCATCTTGTTAAAAATCATTTTATTCGTTCCATTCTAAACAAATTCCCGTCTCGATAATTACGTCAAATTCTACGAGTTTACTTATTTTTATTAAGTTGTGATTTTTTAAATGATTAAAAAATAAAAAAAGTTACAGGAACCGATATCTTTCGTTTCATTCAAAGATTTCATTTCGATCCACAATTTTGAGATTCTTCTCCTGTACGCCTACCCGACAGCCCGTGCGTCCAATTCAAACAGGGCCGTAAATCAAACACCTTGGAAGGGGCATTCGCTTGCGTTTAACCGTGTCTACACGTAGATTTAAGGGAGAGAACAAACGCGTGGTATCGTCCCGGACACGGAGACCGGTAACATTTTAATCGGTTTCCAAGGTTAGTCCCCGTGTGTAAACGAGCCCTAACGAGCCGTATATGTTGATTCCGCGTGCAGGAGGATCGTGTGTGCTGTTGCTCGACCCGTGCACGCAACATTGCATTATTAATCGCGAGCCAATTAAGGCGCGTTACAACGCTGCTCGCAGCCACTAGCAATCGGTTCCAGCGTTAATCGAAAATTAAAGAAGATTATCTCTCTGGGAGATTGAGATGTCTCGAGTGAAAGGTTCGAGTGATCCAAGTGATTCCAGCGATTTAACAAAGGAAATAGATGTTCGTGGTTGAAAGGAGAGATCGTTATCTTTTTCTCTTTATCGCATCTTTGAGAGATTTTCGCCGATTCCAAACGCTCAAGTTTATTAGATTAGGTAAAACAGCGAGATACGAACAATATCCGATAAAGCCATCTCGCTCTGTCCATTTATCTTGCGATCATTTTTAAATTAAACTTTCGCAACGAAGCGATCAAAATTAATTTAATAAGAGATAAGAAAATGATCCAATTCGTAAATGGTCCCATCGCTCAACTCGGCTCAGGTTAGAATACCCTAATAACCTTTTCCACTTGGAAAGAGTTGCAAGCGTAATTCGAGGCGACGATCCTCGAGCGATTGAGCTAAACTGGCGCAATGGATAAATTGCGGTACCACATCGACACAGGCTCTTCCCTCTTTCTTCTCTCTCCTTTTTCTTCTTCTTCGAATTCCTTTGCCCCGCTGCTCGATCGGTGAAAGAACACAGCACAACCGGTCGTTACGTTCAATTAAGTCACGACTCGACGACACTTCCCTCGCTATCCGCTTTTCTGCATTCATCGCGATCGATCGATTTCCCTGATACGTGGCACAGGCCGTGGATAATTCCCGGCCCCGATAAATTGATTCCAACGTACGTACGGCCAATTACGATGGTCGATACCATCGTAATTGAGCAGGTTGGAATTGATTTGTCGATGGAAATTTGTCGATCCGATCCTTTCTCCGGCAGAGAATTTGTAATTGTTTCGTGCTTGTTCGCAGATAGTTTCGTTTAAATGTACGTAGGCGGTTTGTCTCTATGATTACATATTTTTGTTTTACATTCCGAGTTTCTCGATTGACGAATTAAATATCTAAATATTTCGTTTTAGACAAATTTTTAGGTTGAATTAATAATCGAATAATTGATTGTTAATCAGAAGAGAGATGTAATAAAATTAAGAAATTTATATTCTTATTTGCTATTTATTTAAAAGGGAATCGGAAGAAGAAATAAATCGATCAACACAGCTTTTATGATTACATTATATTTTGCATCGAGTTTTTCGATTGGCAAACTAAATATCTAAATAATTCGTTTTAGACAAATTTTTAGATTGAATTAATAATCGAATAATTGATTGTTAATCAGAAGAGAGATGTAATAAAACTTAGAGAAATTTATATTCCTACTTGCTATTTATTACTTAAGAAGGAATAAATCAATCAACGAAAACAGCTGTTAGAACAAAGGAAAAAAAACAAAAAGAAGGGGGTTAAAAATATTATCCGGAATCCAAGAGTACAATGGCGTGGTGGTATTGGACAGCCACGTTGAATTGGGTTTGGTCATCGGACGTTCCAAATAAAGCCAGTCCTTGGTGAACCCTTTTCAATGCATCTCGTTGAGAAGAAAGAGCAAATGAAGAGGGAAGTCTAGTTAGAGATCACGGTTACAGCTGTTCTTGTGGATCGTGACCGAGCTGTTTCGAGTATATATATGAATATCGATCTTACCACTTTGACAACTATGCCCAGATGTATCTTGATCACGATAGAGGAATCGACACAAGGAATTGATAGATGCGTGCACGATGAGAAGAAAGTTTCTTTCCACCCTTCCTTACTCCGTTAAAATCTTAATTCTATTGAATATTATTAAAACTCGAGATCTTTACACGACCATTTTTCATTCTGTCCAACAACTAATCTTCCTTAAAAAAAGAATTAAAAACAAAATATAAGTTTAAGGTTAAATCGATTCAAGTTTCAATAAAATCAACAATCTCTCTTCTCTCTAAACAACAAATCGTCATCCAACAACGCCAAGCAAATAACACCAAATAACACCAAATAGCCGGATCATCCGTCACCTGACTCCGTAATTTCTGCAATTTAAACCTCGTTCGCCTCGAACTTGAGGCGGGAAGACAGGGGATTCCGCGAGCGACACGCAGGCGAATGCAATTTGGTGGTCCAGAGGAGTTTAAGAGTCGGATAATCACACGTTTCCAGCACGTTTTCACGAGCGAGTGAAAGAACGGAAAGCCGCGTATATCCGCGTAATTACACGGAGGGAAGAGGGAAAGATCGAAGAGGAGGAAAGAAAAGGGAGGAGTGGAGGGAAATAATAATTGGAACGTACGATGGGTACGTATTCGTCGGTGATTGCGCCTCGACCGTATCTGCGTTCGCTCTTCATTAAAAGGACCACTCGAGAGAACTTAAGACCGAGTGATGGCTTGCCTCCTTTAATGTCTTCGTTCGGCCACTTCGCGGCCTTTCAACGCGCGCGCCCTCTCGAGAACGCGGTACGTTTTTTTTATTTTTATTCCTGCAAAACGGTGGCTATCAACCACCGTGGATTTTCTCCTCTTTGATTTTTTTTTTCCTCTCTTTCTTTCTTTCTTTCTTTCTTTCCTCTTCTTTTTCCCGAAGGTTAATGCCTTCGAACGATATGATAATTGAGAGCCATTGGAGAAAGGTGGAAGAATTTGAGAGCGTGGAGAGATTAAGGGGATGAATGATGATTGTAAGCGCTTGGTTATAAAGCGATGCGTGCAATTTTGGAATTTTTTGCATGTCGTAAAATTCGATTTATTTTTGTTGCAGTTGTTTTTCGAAAAGAAATATAATTTTGGTAATTAATTTTTAATCGAGAAAAAGAAACGTGCCATAGAATTTTTATGC